CTCATGTATTTATGAGAGTCCCTGGGGATGGGTTGATAGCAGCAGCGAGGTTAAACTCAGAGAAGAACCGATCCATGGGGTTCCGGAGAATCACAATGAACCTGCTCCTCGGCAGCACCAGCTGCAGCAACTGTGGCACAGTGTGCCTCTCGTCTACATGGCCTCGCAGCACCACGCTGAGCTTCTGAGCAGCGTGCTGGACGCCTTGCATGTGACCGCGCTGCTCCCCGTGTTCACGATGTGTTGCGCTGCCTTGTCGAACAGAGACACGTACCATGCAAATTCCCAAGCCACGTTGCGGTCCTACCTGGAAAGGGAGGGTGGGGATGGAGTGGCGAGCTCATGAAGTTAGAAGAGGGCAGGGGAGGGGAAAGCGTGGTGAAGGGATAGGGTAGGGAAGGGAGGGGTGTTGTGTGATGCAATCATATGCATTCACGTCTGCCTCCCATCATGTACTCGTGCGCTGCATGCGTGGTGTGAGCGTGTGCAAGAATTTGTGTTTTGTGCTGTTTGGTTTTTTTGAGTGTGTGTGAATGTTATTTGGCTTGAGCAGATATCTGAAGTGACTCCTCTACTCAAGAGCTTTCCGACGAACCAAATATCGCTTCAATCGGAGCACGAACAAGAAAGTTACGAACGTTGGAGTTCGTATGTTTTTCATATTTGATTGTGGCAACTGTGGGAAGTTGTGGGGTTGACTCAATATGGGGTACAGAATTTTGGGGGTTGGGAGATTCGTCCTTTCTACTGTAGTTGCTGCCAAGTGGTTGGGAGAAACCAAACCAGGTTGGCAAGAGTGGCCAAGTTGAGTTGAGGTGGATTGTGGAGGTTGGGATAGTGACAAAGGTCAAAGTTGGGTTGCCGATGGGGAAGGGAATTGTGTGGCATGGGGTTTCCTTGGTTGGGGGCTTTCTTGGGATCTTCTCTCTCGTCCTCCTCATCCCTTCCACCTGGTTTAGTGCTACTCTAATTCTCTTGTGTGAACTTATGTGAGATTCTTGTGATTGAGTTAAGTTCTTATGGGAGCATACCCCCCTTTGCGCCGAAATTGATAAGTCCAAATTTACTTCACCTCTTGATACGATTCAAATTGGGAATTGTAGCTAAGGACTACGGCTATATCATATCTGAGTTTGGTGAAGTTTTGACGTGAACGTTTTGTCGGCGGCGTTTCTTGTGAGCGCGACTATTCTGTCCAGAAATAGAGACCAACGATTTTGAGAAATTTAGGAACCTAATCTTCATAGACTCCGTCCTTAGTCTATAACAAGGGGTGGAGGGGAGCCGGTTTATGTGGGGGAGGGGAGTGTGTAGCGATTGGGATGTTCTGTGCTGTCCCAACTAAAAAGGTTGGGGTGGGTTGTGTCGAAAAGAAAGGCCCCGCCCTCGCTTGGGCGCAGCCGATCTCTCCGTCGACGGGAAGTTTTTTACGGATTGGTCGAAGAAGTGGGCCTTAGCAGTTTGACGGAAGTTGCGGTCGAGCAGGCTCTGCTCGACGAACTCTGGTCGACAAGCTTTGCGCGACGAGCTCTGGTCGACACGCTCTGAGCGAAGAGCTCTGGTCGACGAGCTCAGCGCGACGGTTCTGGTCAAAGAGCTATGGTCGAAAAGTCCGGGTCGAGGAGCTCTTCCCGGCGAACGTTGTTTGACCGAGTGATGTCAAGCTGATCGACCGAAGATGCAGAGTTGTGCGAAACTCTGCGGAGGCGTGCGAACTTTCGCCCATGAGGTTTTGGCAAAGTTCTACTTGCAGAATGGCAGCACGTGGTTGACGATGCGCACCTGGCAAAACCGACGACACGTTTTCTACCTGGCACCTGCGCAATGTGCCTGACGGTGAAACCGCCAACCTGCACCTACTTGGTAGGTGCGCACATCTGCGCAGGCAGACAACCTGCGACTGCAGATAGCAATCTGCGAATGCAGATAGTTACCTGCGACTTCAGCGCTGGCAGACCACCTGCGGTGCGACGCTGGCAGATCGTTATGCTCGAGCGTTCGCACGCCGCGCTTCTGCTGCGCTGCCAGAGTTTGCCCTGCAGTGTGCTTGCTAGGTTCCGCATGCTATTCTATATCTTTTTTGTTGTACATGCCTCAATTGTACTATCAACTTTTCATTGCAAGTTGTTCTTTCAATTCCTCAGTAGAAACTCTTGCCAAACTTCTGTGTGAACACAAGCAAGTAGTAAGAATGCTACTAGCCAGCTGCGATCACTCGCACAACCCCGTGCCCTCCATCGTAGTCCACTCCCGTTGTGTAGTGACTCTCCGCAGGTTAGGGACTGGGAAGGGGGGGGCAGGGCGCATCACAACATGTCCACTGTACGCTACACGTCCTGGTTGAAGATTGTGCCTTGAGAGGTTCATCCCTTGAGCAAGGGTTGGAGTTGAGTGAAGAACGCTGTGCTTCACACATTGCTGCTTTGTTGCGAATATTGGGATGCGCAGCTCAAGGACTGAATAAGGTGAAAATCAGGACGTGACAGGTAAAGGCTGCGAGTGGCGCAGTGGCCTAGACTAAAGCACCATTGGGTGAGAGCTTTGGTCTACCGGGAAGTGCTTCCTATGGTGGTTAGCGGTACCATTTTCGTTTCTCCTTCTGTGCCCACGGTACTCTCAAGTCTCTCTCAAAACCAGCTGGGGCAGATGTTAGTGGTTGATTCCATCATCCATCCCAGCCTCATCAAGTCCCCCCGTCGACTCTACTGCCCTCCCAGGACAGCACCCCCGCGCCAGTGCATGGGCTAGAGCACCTGGAGGTGCTGCTGGTGGTGGCGGGGTACACAGGGCCTGGTGCTGTGTAGTGCACAGCAGGTCTCTGAGCCGAGGCTGCCCTGTAGTCCCTGGAGTTTGACGGCACACGCGTTCTCAATTAGGAGCATGTGTCGCTCGCAACACTGCCGTATACCAATGCTACTTCTCCTGCTGGTGCTGTGCCTGGGGCTGTTGGTGCTGTTGTTGGTGCTACTGGTGGTAACGCAGTGATGGAGTCTAGGCTAACCACTTGCCAAGGCTGTTCGGGGATAGGAAACACACCCCAAATTATCAAGGTATTTTACCCTGTTTGTCCTGATGAGCGGCCGCTTTTTCCCAGTTACCCTTTCAGAATCCGGGTATGTGATATGTTACCCTAGACAAAAACGGCTATGAAATATTATACACTGACACAACTTTCATTTACCCTTTCTGAACAGGGTGCAATTTCCATTACCCTTTTACCGAATCTTCCTTACCAAGGATTCAGACACAGTCGACGTGTAGACAAAACGGCCCAGTGGCCCACTGTTTCACTTGTCGAGTTGGACCACAGATGCAACATTGAGATTCCTGGTCGGCGGGCCGCCATTGCATCCTAGTCGCCAGGTTCGCAGCTGTTTTTGCAAGCGCACACGAAATTGATGCCTTGCCACACCAGACCCACTGCCATTTCTGTCACGTAGCGCGTCAGCACAGCTTCGTGCTGTCCCACACAACCGCTGGCAGTCGTTGTGATGCTGCACTCGCAGCCATACATTGCCCGTGCAGTGCGGGCATCGATCCGTCTGGGCCTGTTTGTAGATGATGGAAGTGTGCTTAGCACAGAGTAGATGGTGATGTGATGTGTGTGGTGGATGTTGATGTTATGGTCATTTACTTGTTGGTTAATGTTGTTATTGCAAAAACAGATACCGTATACTCCCGGACAAAACACCCCCCCATAATTGTACACCCCCGGGTAGCTTGTGCAGGGTGGGTGTTATGATAGACCTCGTTTCTACTATACCCCCCTTTTTGGCTGATTTTCTATAACACCCCCTTTTCTTACATATTCATTATTATAGTCGTTAACGAGTAGCTGCAATACGGAAGAATATTGTGTGAATTTCTCCCTCAAGGAAATTTCGCGGTACATCCAAAGGCAATCTGCCGAGATTTGCCCCCTCCCACTATTTCTATGTTGCCACGTGCAGGTGAATCTTCCGTTGCAAGTGGCAAGAGAGGTGCCACATGGCATTTACGTGAGGGCGATGAAGTTCGAGGCCGAAACTCACATTCGCGCCTCAGGCAGTGATGCTAAAAGGACCAGCAAAACACCCACATTGACTAATTAAAAAAACACCAACACTAAAATATGCCATATGTAAAGACCCGGGTATTATGCATTTTTTTTCTATGAGACCCCCCCCCCATTTTTTCCCTGTATTTTTAGCTATATCCTAGAGTGTTATGTCCAGGAGAATACGGTATGAATCAGTGTACTAGGATTTTTACACTGATTGATTCAATGTACGGAAGTTTTTAGGCTGTTGCCTGCAGTGTACAAAATGTTTTACCCTATAGGTCAGGGTACAAGAGGCCTGCCACCCTGATCCGAAAGGGTGACCCAAAACCAATTTTGGGCCCTGATAGGAAGAGGCTGGTGTAACCCTTCCTTTTTCTATTTGCTGCTCTTCACCCGTTGGCAGGTGTTGAACGAGATGACGAATGTCTGTACGTTGTCTGCCATGTCTGCCACGCACAACTTGGCCAACACATAGAGCCAGTATGGCAGCACATTCTGACTGGACGTGCAGCAAGTGACCCAAGAGTGAAGGGGACTGGATTTGGAACTCGCCCGCTAAGGTGAAGTTTGTTACAGTGATAGGGGTGCGCTTTTAACAAATCACATTTTGTCAGGGGGTGCGCTTATATTTGAGAACCGAATATAACTGCAATGCTCCATATAGAAGCTTATGCAGTTTTCCAAGGTCTGTACTTCGTAGTGTCAGCCCTGGCGTGGAGGGTTGCCTATGATTCAGGTGGAAACAAGGATTTCCCTCCACTAAGCCGCTGCCGCGCGTCTGATTTCAAGACAAGTCAAGCCGTCCTATAGTGTAAAAAGAAAAGGTGTAAACATGAGCAACGGTAAGTATCACAAACAGCAGGGCAGTCCCTTGGGCCCCCCAAAGCAATCAGGAGGCTGGAATGATCCATACAATGCAACAATGTCACATATGAACCACGATTACCTCATCCCAATCCTAGACTGGGTGTTCGGTGATGAAGCTGCCCCTATCCGCAATCATTTGAAGTTGTGCCTCCAGGCTGTCCTCACCCGCAACACTATCCTTCATCTCCTGGACCTGCGCATCCACCTTGATGGCAGCGCCAGATTCCTCTTTCCCCGCCACCTCCTCCCTGACAGCCTGCAGCTGGGTGACAATGTGCGCCATGCTTGGGCGGCTTGCAGTGCGCTCCACGGTGCAGCTCACTGCAAGCTCAGCCAAGTACTGCACAACATCCCCAGGGGCGTCCATGGTGGGGTGCTTGAGGCTCTCTGAACCACCCGACGACAGGCACTCGGATACCTGACAGAGTGCAAGAGGATGGACAAAATTGCAAGTTTGCAAAGGTGAAAAAAACAGCAGTTAGCCTATGAAGCAGAATATTTCACTTCAATTGGAAGAATGTGATTATGGCAACATGCAACAAGCTGCCTGAGTGGAACTTACCCACACCACAATGTGCTTGGCCTCCCCAGCATCCTGGGAAAGTAAAGACCGTCCAGTGAGCACCACAAGCATGAGCACACCAAAGCTGCAACGTGCGAGAGGTGGTGAGAGCAATGCGATGGTGAGAGCAAGGCAATGGTGACATGAATGTGACCACTGTTTTTTTTTGTGAATTCAAATAACATGTGGAGGATGTCGATGGTGTTCAGTCAAGAAGGGAAATAAATTGAGTATCCAACCAACTAGGCTGGATGGGTTGACCAACTAGCATTGCTTCACTAGGTGCTTGTTCCAGGTGCAAATCTAATGCATAAGCCAATATCGACATGACGAGGCACATGCCACGTTTTTATATCCTCGGGAGTCTCCATCATTGGAGCCATCTCCCAGAGTCTTCCGGCTCACATAGCACGATCTTTATACGACTCTTGGCTCACCTGTAGACATCGCTGGCTGTGGTGGCCTTGGACGTCCGGTTGTAAACCGGATCCACATAGCCCGGTGTTCCCATGATTCGAGTCGTGCCCACTGTCGTGCCCTCTTCCACCCTCACCAGCCCAAAGTCTGCAATCTTGGGCTGGTGGGTGGTTGGACAATGTGATATTATGAATGCACCAGCACAAAAGAAAGAAATTTCAATGGTGACAAAACAAACGACATACACTGGTCATTGGCAGTGAACCAGAATTGCACCCAGACACGGTAATCTCGAACGTGTAAGTGAGTGTGAGCCATATGCAGAATTAGATAAAAAAAGAGACTCGCCGAGCCAAACTAGAACACACCAATTATTTCGGCAGGCCCTGCCTATTCCTAGCAATTCTCATGGGTAGTTCTTGATTTCTTTCCACAGAAGCATCTTGTTATGCAGTGTGAGATGCTGCAACCGCGCTTGCCTGCATGTCGCTGGTGATGAGGATGTTGGCGGGCTTGATGTCGCGATGCACAAGGTCGAAGCTATGGAGATACTCAAAGCCACGTGCAACACCAATGAGGATGTCTAGCCGCTGCTTCAGACTCAGAGGAGCAGGTGCATCTGCAATGAGCCACGGGATGAGTTTCATGACAAGCATCACCAGGCAGCATGAGTGGCCTACCACGAGTAACATTGTACAAGGGAATGCGACACAACGACTTGCACACTTACTTGGTCCTATCCACTTCTCAAGGTCACCATTGGACACAAGCTCATAGATGAGGACTTGCTCTATCTTAGACCTGACGTCCCCTCCCACCGCAAACCCAAGCAGTCGCACAATGTTGGGATGGTTCTTGTCGGCCATTTGCATGACCTGGAGGAAGAGATAACCGGCACACGGGAACAGGAGGAAGATGCCCGGAAAGAAAGAGTAGGTTGAGAAGGAAAGGAGGAAATTTGATTCTGCTCGCTCAGCTTAGGAAGAAGAATAGTCCTGATCAAAATAGATAGCGAAATTTTAGATGAAGCGTCTTTCTGTTTGAAAGTAATGGAAAACCGAACTGTCTTATCCCCATGTTGACTGACGGAGTCTGCAGTCCAGCCACCTCCCCATATGCAGCTCACTCACCTCCCTCTGGAATTCCGCGCCCATGAGCTTGGCGCGTTTCACAGCCCAGGGTGTGGTGGCATCGCGGGGAGAGACGCCCTTGTAGACATCACCAAAGGCACCCGAGCCAAGCAGGTTGTCCTGGGACCAGTCGTTGGTGGCCTTGAGGACCTCCGCTAGCGAGAACTCAGTGCAGTGCGAGGCTGCCAGGCTGGCCCCTGGGCATGGTCGTGGGGTGGGGGGTGAAGGGTGAGGAGGTAATGAGCAAGCCCTCGCCTTGTCTTGCCTTGTTATTGAGCACACGCATACAAAATGAGTAGACATGAAGAGGAACCATCTTAACAAGGAACGTTGAGAAGGTGTGGAGGTGGGACCTGAGCTGAACACATGGAGAACCAATCCTGCTTCTCCTACATTTTGAGCTTTGCCGCTTCTGGTGCCTGAAGCAGAGCAACGTGGCAGCCAGAAGCAGGAGGAGAACGACCACAGCAGCAACAGCAATGCCAATGATGCCTCCCACTGATACACCCCCTCCACCTCCAGATGCCGCTGCTGGTGCTCCTGGTGCTGCTGCTGCTACATGAGCACAACAAAAGCATATCAGCTGAGCAAAGAGATTCGATGTAATCTGAGCAAAGAGAATGAACTGCCATTCACAACAGCACAAGCATGGCAGCAGTGGGGGTGATTCAAGTAAACTAGGCACTGCTTCATGAACCCCACTAACCTGTTTCTTGCTGGCATGCAGAACAGGTGGTGCCACAATCTTGGCAGAAGGCCGCCTTTGGCAATAAGGTTTGGGCGCAGGTGGTGCTGTCAGCAGCAGGACAAGTGAGGCTGGTGCCAGATGTGTTGCTGCAGTGGAAGTGGGCAGATCAGCACAGGAGAGAATATGCTTGGGGCAACTTGTGTGCAGATGATTGCATGCACAAGTCAAGAAACAGATTTATATAGCTGTCAGCTAGGCATGGCTAAACCGAACCTTGGTTCGGTTTAGGCAAACCGGTTTGTGTGGAACCAAAGTAGAGTTATGTTTTCATCATTTTTGGTTTGACAAGATCCTGTTAGGCCAATTTGACCTGTTCGATCTCTGCTCGGAGGGGCAACTTGAGTGCAAGTTCAAATTCAGGTAAGAAACGGGGATTGGAGCTCATTTTCAAGCTTTTAGTCCTTCTTAGCTATCTCGTCGTCACTAAATGGGGCCATCGTCCGTCAAAGTGGACGTCCGGACCAAGCCTCGTTCACACCACAAAGTGGATGTCCTGTGAGTTTAAATACCACATTGATTTGCGGAGGTTGAGTTACAAGAAAACAACATCGACATTTCACAGATGCCCAAAACTTTATGCGTCATCCCGACAGCCATCGTGTTCGACAGCCCGGTTTTATTTGTTTTCTTTGGTCGTGACGACTTGGCGATTTTCCAATTTCGTCATGCGCCAACTTTTGGCTATCAAGTCATGGATGGAGCAGAACACGCGCGGCAGGAGCCTCCTCGCAGCAGGGGCCACACACACGCTGAAGGAATTGTGCTATGAGGCCGATGACGATGGGTTTTGAGATCTGGACCCGAGACTAGACATCTTCTAGCAACGTTGGCGCCGGCATCAGCAATGAGAAATCAGTGGGAAACTCCTCGAATGCGGCGATAGTGTAAGAATCCGATTCCACTCATTCCAATACTGCGAATATTCCGAGGAGGTAGTAAAAGGGAAGCTTGTGGAGTGTCGCTCATGTAAGCACACTATCAGTCATAGCCATGGTCGTTGCACCATGCATTTCACCGAGTGGCCAAACTAAGGATGCCACGAAGTGCGAATTTGTCCGACCGTTCTCAAGGAGGTGGAGAGCTATTCGTGAAGCAGCAAGTACGAAGACCGCTGGGGGCTGAGAGAGCGAGAGCGGGGAGTGCCACGATTGCTTCGGTTGGAGGCACACCTCTAACAAGCAGAACACTATGGATTACTTAAGGGAGAGGTGGCCGCGAAGATAACAGTGGCGGATGAGGCGATATGCCTCTACCACGCTGCACTGCACCTACACGAGGGGCACGTCGAGCACCCGTTCCTTTGCCACATGGTGCCGACAATCGTTTTAGTGGGGAGCCTTTACTTGCCACCAAAGGCGTTGTGTTGGAGGTGCAGCTCTGCAGCAGCGTCGCAAGCGATCGGGTCTGCATTGTTGCCAGTGGAGGCTAAGTTGGAATACACGCTGTTTGCATATGATACGCTAGCGTATAAACGCTGAATGTTTCTTGGGAGAGGTCCGGTACGCAGTGAATACGCGGGCACATAAAAAGTGAGAAAAGCCAGACAGCAGTGTTGTGCACACGGCATGCAGAACAGCTACGCAGCTTACAGGTAGTCCAATTGAGCAAGACTCCCAAGTGTGGCTGGAATGATCCCGGAAAATTCATTTTGGTGCACATCCCTGTACAGAAGAGCAGGACATCTAGAGGAGCAGCTGAATACACAAGAAAGTTTAAAATTGGGTAGCACTTATAAGTTTTGCTAAAGCAACGAATGCGTGAATTCAATCAAGACCAGCCAGATGGTTGGTTTAGACGGTAGGAAAGATGCAGTGGCTGGAACTTATAAGGATTGATTGGTTTGAAATTGCAATAGCAAAACGACCAAATGCAGAGGACTGAATGAAATTGTTAAGGTTGAGAATCAGTAATCGTAGTTTTGAGTTCTGCCAATTCAGGGATTTGAGTTTTGCCAATTCAGGGATTTGAGTTTTGCCAATTCAGGGATTTGAGTTCTGCCAATTCAAAAACAAAAGCATGAATCTGAAGTACAACAGCAGGCGGGAACATGGAGTCACAAAGCGATGCAGCGTGCAGAGGAGGGGAGGAGTGGCCATGCAGAGTGCATAGGCAGTGGTGGGGTGTCAGCACTGATGCGCACGTGGCATGCAGCACCCAGTGGACAGAGCAGCACGCAGGTGGAGCAAACCCATTGTGCGGCTTACAGTGTCCCGAGATATAAGAGTTCGGAGATGCTGTTGGGAATGGAGCCGGTGAGGGAGTTAGAGCTCAGATCCCTGTGTGGGAGTTAGAGCTCACACCCCGTTTAAATAGGGTGGCTGGAACTTGGAAGGATTGATTAATCAGGAGCTTCAGCAAGGCAAACAGATGCAGAGAACATACTGAGATTGTACAGGTTGAGATTGTGTTCTGGCAGGAATGAGTTCAAAACAACACGTAGCTTCAATGAAGTACAGCAAGTAGGTTGGTGCAGTAGGGCAGAACAAGGAGTGGAAATTGGATGCAAACGGCAACGGATGGAACCAGTGTATTGAGTGGATGGGCAGAGGAGGAGTGCCAGCAGTGATGCGCACATGGCATGTAGCACCCAGTCGACAGAGCAGCACGCAGGTGGAGCAAACCCAGTGCGCCTCTTACAGAGATGAAAGTGCCGTGAGCGCAGAGATGCTGTCGGGAATGGAGCCCACGAGGGAGTTGGAGCTGAGATCACTGTGTAGGGTTGAGTGAGTTGGACGTGATGAGATGCTCAAAACCATGTCTGCTGGTAAGGGTCGCTAGCTGGAATGGAGAAGGATTAATGAGTTTGGAAGAGCTTTTGGAAGGCAAGCAGATGCAGAGGACCGACTCAAACAGTAAGGGTTGACATTGTGTTAGCATGCCAGGGTTTTGCGGTTAAATGAACAAAGGCATGAATTTGAAGTACAACAGGAGGGAGGAACATAGAGTGGCAAAGCGATGCAGACAGCAGAAGGGTGGAGGAGTGGGCGTGCAGACTGCAAGGGCAATGGAGGAGTGCCAGCAGTGATGCGCACATGGCATGCAACACCCAGTGGTCAGAGCAGCACGCAGGTGGAGCAAACCCAGTGCGCCTATTACAGTGCTTTGAGTGCCGTGAGCGCAGAGATGGTGTCGGGAATGGGTCCCTCAAGAGAGTTAAAGCCAATATTCCTGTGTGGGTTGAGTGAGTTGGACGTGATGAGACGAGAGCTTCAAATCCCCGTGCACAGCTATGTTGGATCTGACGCGTCAAGGGTCACAAATGCAAGGGTTCGGACGCTAGTGTCTTGGATGTTAGGGTCCGGATGCTAGGGTTCGGATGCTATGGTCTGGATGATAGGGTTCGGATGCTATGGTCCGGGTATTAGCGTATGGATTCTAGGGTCCAGATGCTAGGGTCCGGATGCTAGGGTCCGGATGCTAGGGTCTGAATGCTCAGGTCCGGACTCCGGATGCTAGGGTTCGGATCCTATGGTCCAGATGATAGGGTCCAGATGCTAATGTCCGGATCTTGGTTGGAAAATACGCGTCTGGCGTATCAGACGCGTACCGACTATACGGTGACGTACGTACGCTGGGATTCCAGCCTCAGAAAACGCTATGAATACGTTCTGTCGGGCAGGGAAATAAACTCTTGGCAGAGGAAAAAAAGGATTTCCTGGAGGGAGAGATGGTTTGTGTAACGCCGATACCAGATCCACGCAGATCTAGCGGCGGAATGCCAGACCTGCGTTCCTCTGGCTAGTAGCGTTCGCCTGCGACACTAGCGGCCGACTACAAGGTAAGAAGAGATCTATAATAAAAAGGCGTGATACACCCCTTGCTCTTGTACGCACGCACGCCGTCGGGAAAGCCCAAGCTGCTTGTGGTTGGTTGGAAGGGAAGGGTTGGGTTTGGGAGGTGGCGTGAGGTTATGTGCGGTGGAGGGGGGGGGGGGGGGGGGGGAGGCATTTGACTTTTAAATGCCAAAATTAGACTTTCAAATGTCAAAATTAGGTTTCAGATAGTCGCCGATCGCGAAAAGGGTGGCAACCTTGTTTTTTGTGTGTGTGTGTGTTTCTTTTTTTCGGGCTGCCTGTCGCGACGTATTGCGAATTTATCCCCGTATAACGTTTTTCGGTTTATGAGTAAACGCATATACGTGATATGTAAAATTTCCTAGCGTTTTTCCCAACCTAGGTCCGGACTCCGGATGCTAGGGTCCGGAAGCTAGGTTTCAAATGTTAGGGTCCAGATGCTAGGATCCGGGGCGCTAGTCGCTTTGGTGAGCCTCTGTTGGACGCGCCGGATGCTTGTCCAGGCAGGGCAAAAAAAAAAAACAAATGCAAGGGTCCGGACTTTGGATGCTAGTTGCGGAAGACGCTCGACCCGTCTTGCGTCTAGCGTCGAGACGATTTAGACGCTAGACACTTGGGCTTATTTTTTCGGGCAGCTAAAAAAAAAATCCGCACGCGCAAAATTAAAATTCACCATTTTGACGCGAAATTCAATTTCGCGCCATTAGAACCCCTTCCCACCCATTTCGACCATATAAACCAGCCCCCCAAGCAATTTTTGAAACCCCCCAAACCAAAATTGAACACAAACCACACTTCACCGCTTGGTATCTTGAAATCCCAACCTCTATGGCTAACCACCAAGAGGTTGGGGAGCACAAATCCCTCATGTGTGCTCCCCATCGTTCATTTCTTCCAAATATCTTTCGAAAACCCTTAGGGTTTAGCTAGTTCCTTTGCGAGAGCAACATATTGTGAAATCTAAGAATGGGAAAAACATTATGGTACGGGGAAACAATGACCCCATTGTGACATACGTGCGTGTCCCCCACCCTCCCCATGCCCCACAGATTATTTGTTTGTCTGCCCGAACTTTTTTTTAGCCTACCCGGGCTTTCATCTATACTGCGTCTAATCTGACTCATCTAGCATCTAGCGTCTTAGACGCTGCGCCTAGACGGACGCGTCTAAGACGCTAGATGCGTCTTCCGCAACTAAGAGCTAGGGTCCGGATGCTAGGTTTCGGATGTTAGGGTTCGGATGCTAGGGTCCGTGACGCTAGTCGCTTAGGTGAGCCTCTGTCACACGCGCCCCGGACGATTGTCCAGGCAGGGCAAAAAACAAATGGGCAGGAAAAATAACCAGAGGAAGTTAGGCAATAAAGGGGGCAAGAGGCAGGACACAAATACACAATATCCATAACTTATATCAAGATCCCCAAAATACGCACACAAGGTAATTAACAAGGTTCACATGAGCCATTAACGCATCATTAAGCACACGGTCGTCTTCCTCCTCTTCCACACCCCCACCTCGGTCTACAAATGTTTCCCTAACACCACTTCTCAAAGGTGTGGAGCCACTACCCACAGGTTCCATAGGAGTATTATTAAACACTGTACCTTAAATGCCAATAGTTATAGGGAACTGTGACGGATACGAGATTACCGCACAGGAAATTTGTTGGTGCAAAAATATCGTTTGCACGTCAACCTACCGCCTATTCGCCAAGTATCAAGAAAAGGTTAAGTTATTCATTCGAAGGTAATTTGTGGCTTGAGAGACGCGCATTTCTGTGTTTTACGTTTGAGCGATTACGGCTCGTGAATTGTCTCTACGGTTCATGAGTTATGATCATTTTTGTGAAGCATTGCGCTTGTGAATGTTCATGAGTTTCTATGAGTGATGGTGTGGGTTCATGTCATTTCATAGGTTCTGGTATGTCGTGAGTGTTCATGAAGCGTCCATGCATTTTGGTGAGTGTTCACGTAATTTCGTGTTTGTTCATGAGTGTTCAGGGGATTTCAGGGTCAAGGTTTAAGCGACGGTGCCGAGCACTGTTGCGATTTCGACGCCATCATTCAAGTGGCGCCAGAGTGTGCCAACATGTGCACACGCGCAGCCTAAGGCCGCAATCGGATTCGCCACACGCGCAAGTGTGGCCTTGTGGGTGGCGCGAAGGAAAACGACGAGGGGTCATGGACCCAGGCTGGATTTGGAGGGTGCCTTGTGGGACCACCGACATTTTGCTGGACCCACGAGCGTTTTGACTAAATTTTCCGAAGAGAGAAATTCAAAAGGTGTTTCGTTTTCAGGGCGACATACCTCGTGCTGAGATCGCCAACATCGCGTGCGTTTTTGGCTTTCAAAGATGCATTCCGGGTTTTCACCGCCCCAACACATTTCAACCACTCCAAATGTCCAATTTCCAACCAGGGCGACCATAATCTGAAGTAGAAAAGAGATCGTCGTCGTCATTTCGCCACTCTCCCTCTCATACCGATTACTCTTGCCCATTATCCAACCAGGGCGACCCCAATCTGATTGCTATGTTGCTATGTGCAACATAGCAAAGGGGTGAATGGAGGCCAAAAACAGAACCAGTTCGAATTTGGGTCGAACACCTTAGTGTTCGAACCGAAATCAACACTGTTCGACAGCTTAGTCGAACACTCGAACCGTGCCTTGAAGACAAAGTCACAACTTTGAAAGCGTCCAAATCAAACCTGTTCGAGCTCGACTGTTGCTCATGCCTATAATCAAGGTGGGAAAAAACGATTGTACAAAGGCACAGCCTTCATTTTAAGGGTATTTGATGGCTGTGTTGAGAAAGACGCGTCCAATGTCCAGACGCTGGACGCTTACCTGTCTGTGAATAGGACGCTAAAAAAACACTGGGCCAGGCAGGGTAACAAAATATTTCGGGCAGGCAAAAAAACCGTATAGGAGGTGGAGAGCGAGTTTCGGGACATTGCAACCACATTGAACATGGTTTATCAATATAATCTCAAATCAACACCGAAATTCCACAAAACTGAGATTTAGGGTTTTCGAAAGAGAATCAGGTAGACTAGGAGAGAAAGCTCTGAATGTCGGCCTGATTCTCTTCATACACTGGGTTCAGGTCGACAAAATTGGGAGGGGGAGATGCAGTGCGGTAATGTGTGGTGGTTGGGGGAAAAATGATTTGCTAGCAATTTTGCTTTGCAAAATAACAGAATCACTCCCATTCGTTCGCGATTTTGCTTGGCGACATCGCTCCCATTGGGTAACGATTTCACGGAATAAACGATTTGATGAAAATTTCGCAAAGACCAAGTCGTCGACGTACACGAGGATGTAGAACGGCGGCAGAGAGGTGTCGGTGCGCAGAAACTGCGACGGGTCGGCAGTAGACGGAGCAAACCCAAGTGCCGCGA